GCAATCCTAAAGCATGTTGCCATTCGGGTGATATAACGACTGCCTTTAAAGAAAATAAACTGTCTGGAACAGATAAAAAAAAAAGTAAACTATGCTCTATCATTTCCAGTACCGGTATAATAGACTGTCAATTCAAAGCCATTTTGTCAATTTAGGGCCACGTAAATTTTGGCCAGTAAGCGGGGGTATTCTGTGTTCTTACTTGTCATTCTTAAGAATTGGAATAAGTACGAAACCCATACAAATTTATGCATTGAGGTTTGGTTGGCGGGAAAGTGAGAGAGCTGGTGGCGGGAACCGACTGAATTGATGGCAGCTACGTTCTTACATGTCACTTCCAAACCAGCACAATGGCTAACAGGTACACGAAGGAGGAAAACGAAGCTATCATCACTCAGGTTCAAGCAGGCGGGACGTTTACTGCTGTCGCTGCCGCCACCGGCGTTCACCAACGAACAAGTCGTAAGTGGGTGACAACAGCAAAGGAAAGTAAGTCTCTCATAGCTATGCGTCCAGGACCTAAATTCTTTTTCCCCAAAGCCGCAGGGCAACAGCTCTACGAGTGGGTTATTGGGCGGCAGCTTGTAGGTCATCCTGTCGATCGCTCTGTAATCGTTCGAAAGGCTCAGGAGCTATCCCTTCTGTGTTGTGGTGAGTGCATTAGAGAAGGGTGGTACCGGCGCGCTATCCCCCGCTTATTGACCGATCTGCTCAGCCGCTTTCTCGCGATCGTAACTGCATCGTCCCCGCAGACCTTACCGTGCTTTTCAACACACTTGCACAGCTCAGCATTCAGCTAAACCTCGATTACTCCCACGTTTTTAATATGACCGAGCCCACTTTTCAAAAGCGACTCAAGAGCAAGATACTCGTTGCTGTCCGCGGCTCAAGCAACGCGTGGTGTTCGGAGGCGACATCCAGCTTCCATCTTACTATCGTAACATTCGCAAGTGCCGGTGGATTTGTGGTGCCTCCTGCCTTTGTCCTACCTGGGAAAACTGTGACGTCAACGCTGCTGGACGACATCGATAGTCCAGGAGTTGCAGTGACAACATCACCCCACCCCCCCCCCCCTCCCGGGCTTCATGAACGGTGGTCTGCTCGAGGAATCACTACGATTTTTTGCTACATCAGTACCTAGAACAGTCGTGCTGATCCTGGATGGCTGCGCATCCCATTATTCGACTAACGTGGTTGACACGGCAAACAGCTGAGCGTCAAGCTTGTCTTTCTGCCTCCCAATGGCACGCACATTTTGCAGCCATTGAATGTTGGTGTTTTCACAGCGCTCAAGAGCCAAATTCATACACTGATCGGAGAGCTTGTAGACGAAGATGAAAATGGCTATTACACTATTAGCAAGGACGACGCAATAGATGTGGCAAGTTTGGCGTGGCGAGGATCTCGAATTGACCTCAAAATTGTGAGAGGATTTAAGGTATGCGGTTTATTTTCGCTCTCGTTGGTCAAGATGGGAGCTCGGTTGAATAATTTTTTTCGTAGCTGGATCACTCGTCATGTCGAACTTGCCACATGGCTACAAATGAGATTAATTGTCGAGGACGAAATGCTGAAGCTCCCAGCCGCACCGCGGAAGGCCATCAACAATGAGCGAAAGCGCGTTACTGTTGGTGGGCGACTGCTAGCCCACGCTGTGTAAAAGGAAATCGAAACTAGTAGCGCCACATCTGGAGCGAGCACGCGGAAAAAGAGGAACGCAAACACGCGAAAAGAGTCCCAGCAAAATCTAACGAGCACAAGTGGAATCGTTGAGTCTGCTCTAGTTTAGAAAGATTAGCAGCTAGCTCTAGCTCTAACCAAGTGTGTCTACAAGTACCAAAACGTCGTCTTCATACTGAAAGAACACATTTCTTCGCACTGCCAATTTGAACAGCATTACGCCCGCCCAGCCGGGTTGAAGTACTTCGCAGGACATAGCTTGACAGCAGTCAAGGGTGGTAATCGCGATCCAGTGTATGGGGGCTGCTGCACGATGCACTTGGGGTGGTAGCGTTGGTCCTGGGACTCCAGGGGGACCAGCCTTCCATCCACCATTCTGAGCGTGTGTGTGCAGCCTGCTGTGCGCTTTTGAAAGTAGCTTGTTCTGCATAATCAATAACCCAGCATATGTGCTCACTTGGTAAAATTATTCTTTTTGATGATTGACCTAACCTTGGCATGGCTCATTTCGTAACGGGTCGATAAACAGCACAAACCATACTGATTCCATGTCAAATTTTGACCTCTAATTGGCAGGAGTCAGCTTTAAGATCTTTCATCGGATGTTGTTTCCACAGCACAATTTCATTGGTTAATGACCAGGAAATATACATAAAATTAGCAGAGATTCTGGCCTTTTCAAAACTGTGCAACTTGTCTTTGCCGTGCATTGGATTGCAAGCTACACGCTTGGGAATCAGATGCTTGTTTTGTGGCCCCTAATTGACAGCTTACCTTACCGCTAGTTGACTTTCCTCATAGATAACCTCAATAGCTTTGATGATCGTATAATACGAATGAATGAAGTCGAATACGAATCGTATTCGACTTCATTCATTCATTGACTCGGGGGTGGTGAGTGAATGCTAAATTCTCTTTTGAGCTTGGTTCTTCTAACGCTGGCGTAATGGAAGATCAGAAATTGCGAGTTTCTGCACCGGAGCTCTGTAGATTATTCCGATTAGATACGATTAGGGTGTGAATTGGATATGTCCTCGTTTTTATTTATGTTTTACTCTGACCGTGAAAACGCGAGTAGACCCAAACAAGAATATATAATTGTGTAGGAGAGCTTTGCTACGCACTTAATGGTGCCCAACGCAGTGGCGGTCGCTGGTACTGCGACGACGGACACACTGATGAATACTGCTGCCGCATGCACTGCGCTGATCGCTGCAGCCCAAGGATGTCGGATGCTGCTGTACGAACCGCTAATTATAAGGGAACGTAGCTCGACTTCAGTGACGACAACTTTCAGTAACTTTGAATCTGACACTACCTCGGCGAAGAATGACGTGGCTTCAGGTACACTGCCAATAAGTGTGTCAGATCCTTCGACGGCCTCTGACGCCACATTCGCAGTCGCTGCTGCATCGGATACTACTGCAGCCGGAAGACATGACGTGTGTGAAAGCGTGAGCCCGGTCGTGTACATTGAAATCGCTCTAACGATGTAAGTAGTGCGGCTCAGAGCAAGACCTGTGGAGGAAGTCGTCCGCTTGCCCGCTCTGTGACCTCACATCTTGCCACCACAACGACCTTCGGCGCCACCGCAGTTCCAGACGCCGCAACGCTGTAATTGTGGAAGATTGTCAAACCAGTTGAGCGTGTAGTATTGCCTTCCCGTCGCTTGCTGCAGCTACAAAGCACGTAAATCAATGAGAGTTTCAAAATTTAAAAACAGAGGTTTCCGGAATAGAGAGCAATTATACGTCGGAGCAGTCGGAGCAAACGGGGATGAGAGTGCTGGTTCGCGTTTTCGCCCCCTGAATACGACCATCCAGGAAGCTTACACTTCGCCCAAGATCACGTTCAGTACGTCGTCGCCGTCTCTGTTATCCGGGCTCTTGCAGCCATTGCCGGCTCGGCCTTCGGGGGCCACCGTGCCGTCTCCGTCGCCGTTCACAGGGGCTGCTCGTTCGGAGCCCGTCATGTCCGCTCCAGTGTCGACGGCGGTGCGCGGGTACGCCCGTAGTGGCCGCGTCACGGGCACCGTTTCAAGGTACGGCGGCGAAAGCGTCCACCCTGTTGCTGCAGCGGAGCCTCTACAACCGGTGGTCGGACTGTCTGCTTAGCAACCGCCTCAACTAGCTTATGCGGCATCTCCTGCCCAAGCGACGGCCTCAGCATCAAATCTAGCAGTGGGTGGCCCATCGCCGGCTCTCGTACGGGCACGACCTAAGCTTTTCTATGCGGACACAGACCGGGGCGACCCTCACAGAAACTCGCCTGCATAAGAAACGGCTAGTTCCTGACAGGGAGGCTGCCGCAGCAGCCCGTTCAGCGACCGTGGTACTAGTACTGGGAACGCCATCTACCGGCGCCCCTACACCTACACGTCGGCCTGTGCAAGCAGCCATGACGACTCAGCAGTCTCTGCGTGTGGAGCCCCGTCAGAGACAGAAGACTCAGCGTCACACGCAGTCCCAGCACCAGCTCTACCTCCAGCTACGACGTCATCGCCGTAACCGACGGTGGCCGCTTGTAGCCCTTCCTCGCTTGAGCCATGTGTGCCGTGGGCGGGTCGAGTTATTCGTCTCCTTGCACCGAACGCGGGTTCTACATTAGCCCTTCCCGAATTGTGCCGCTACTCGCCGTTGTTTTGCCTGACTCGGTGTCCGTTCCAGCGCCCGATTCTCTCCAGCAATTCCCGGCGTCACCCACTGACGCACCGCATTCCGTGGAGGATGACACCAGACTGGACTTGACGCTTGAAAGCGCAGCGAGCAGCGCGTCGGCTTCAAACGCCACAATGTTAACAGCTACTGATACAGTTACACCTGCATCCTCTCATGTGTGTCTCACGGCCAATGGCGCATCACACCCGTCGTGCACCGCGTTTGACCTACCCGAGCTCTTACGCAGCTTCGACACGGATAGGTACCGAACACGAGTGAGTCTGTTCTTGCGGACCAGCCAGCCGAATATGTTGCCACAATCACAGAGCGCCCAGTCGAGCCCAGTCGAGCCCGTCGCACGACCGTGCGCACCCGAGCTGGGCATACCAGGCTACCTAGTTTGAATTCCGGCGGCGCTGCCCGTGCCAGCACCACCGCTCATAAACTACCTATAGACATGACACCGGAGGCCAACGATGGTACCAACCTCGTAATGGGCTAGGACAACCGTTACGACTTACACATGCAGAGTCTAATTATGTTTGCTCATGTAGAATGGCATGTAGTGTTCACGCGTCCTCTCCATCGCATCTGAGCGTTTGTGGTGGTCAACACGAACAGCGACATACACCACACGCCCGAGCGGGCTCAACGCACGCTGCACGAAGTCAACCACCGTCTCGGCTCCGTGTATGTCCACCTGTCAAACGACTCACTAGGGAACGCTCGGCTGCCGCTACGAAGATCGAGCTTTGGTCCGTCGCATGGACAATGGCTCTGCGGGACCATCTACGTTCTATCGGACCGACCAGCTGCATCATCCCACCCGCACGACAAGTGCTTACGCGCACGCTCGACCCGCTTCACGCGACGATGAAGATCGCCGTCACCCCGCCCACCCAGGAGGCATTCCGGTTAGCGTTCACGCTTTAATACCACGTAATAAGTATCATACCTTCGCTTGTTCAGCGAAGACATGTGTAACGGCGGGACCAGGGACTCGTGTACCGCTGATAGGGCTCATGCATGGCCAAACGACATCCCGGCCGCGCTGCTTAACTTTTGCGCTCGACGGCTCAGCCGCCGCCGCTCGGACAGCCATCGCCACGCGTGATGCAGCCGAGGCGCCGCCGGTTCACCAGCGCTTGCTTGTAATCTGAATACACACCCGTCTCATTACACCATGAGGTGTAGTGGCCCCCACGACACCATTTCTCCCCACGTCAATGCTTCCCGCGAGGATCTCGTCAGCGTCAGCACTGGAGACTGCATAATCATCGCGAGCTCAGCTTACCCTGCCGCTACCTCAGCTTCGATGAGAGCTATCAGCGACAGTCATGCCTCCAACGACGCTACATCTAGTGCCTTACATTTGTCGCAGTCTGTACATTCACGTGCACAAAGTGGTGAGAGCCCAGGCAAGTCAACAGCCGGGTATGCCTCCGAAGCATGCACAACGCCTCCGAAGCATGCACAACGCCAACCCCAGTCAGACGCCCTTCCGCGCTCCGCCCGGCTCCATCCGGTCCAGCCCTTCAATTACTCCGTGCTTCTGATGTGAAGCGCGCAGTACTGTGGGATCCATCCGTCGTCGCTGTCGACAGCTTTCTGCCGCGTCGGGGTACGTTTCCTTGCAATTCTACCTGTGGATTGATTGTCTAATCTTGGAGGCCGAAATATGCTAAATTAACCTTTACAAGCTGCGACGACTGCGTTTGTTCGCCGCACCCGCATGCAGCTAAAAGAATTCACGGAGCTTGTCCGCTGTCAGTCACCTGATGACAATCGCTTAAGCAAGGCATTGCATCCTGATGTGCTACGAACATATTGCTGTCGCAACACACACGTCAACGATCTTGTCCGGTTAGCTTCCGTAAGATCTCGCGCTCGTTTAGCGATGCCGCTGTCACACCAGCGCTCCTTTCCGCAAAGTCACCCATCAGCTCTAATCACATTAACGTTTTTCGCGCCAACGTACGCAAGGAGCAATATGCCTTCTGCTGCATCGTCATGGACGCGGACATAATTTTGGTGTGGACCGATCTTTTTGTCAGCCCATTTGGAGTTGTCGATGAAGACACGAATGATCCTCACTACACAGGCAGGGCCATTCACGATCTGCCGTTTCCCGTAGGTGACTCGGTGAACTCTCACACGGATCAGGGTGAGGTTCCTAGACGTTATCACCGTGGGTACCTGTATTGCGATATGCAGAAGCTATATCGCCCGACATCAGCTTGACAACATTGAATGGCGACGGCGCTTGCAGCGAATGATTTCCATAGCGATTCTGAAACAGCGCTCGAATAATGTTGGTCAACTTTGCTGGGCATATTCTGCAACAGGAACTCCAGTACCTGATGGTGCTCCGTTATTTAAGGCGGCATCACACCCACGTTTCCTGGTTGGGGTATCAAGAAAACACTAACGAACCGACAAAGGCGTTCGTTAAAATCATCGCTACAGCATCAATTAACAGCGCAAGACAGGTCAAAGTTTCAAATGAATCTCCTACTCGAACGACTTACCGCGTTTATGTCGTGACGCTGAGTAATCTCTCGTCGGTATCATACTTGTGCATCAGGGGCCAAGCAGAGAGGTGTGGCATGCCAAGGCAGGCATCCATGAGGTGGTGCCGGGCCTATCGCTCGCGCCTCAGCTCTGTAGCAGTCAATAGGTGATAGACTTGACGTCACAGGCCTTGGAGGTTGCGGGAGTGGCCGCACAGGAGAGCCACGACAGTTATCTCGGTGGAATGCATCGGTCACGCAGAGGCTTGCCGATTTAGCGTGAGGGAGAGGAAAAAAAAACGGAAGTGTATCTCATCTTTTCGAGCCTAAACCGCAGTGCCCCTATGGTGGATACCACTTATAATCAGAGTAATAAAATCGACTCTTTTAAAAGATGACGCGACCTACGCTGCTTTGGGGGAGCGTCTTACGTAGAAGATAAATTACGACTTACGATGGTCTTACGGCCCCTGTCATATGACACCTTAATGGTAGTTTTGGCGGCGTCCATTATGCGAGTTGGAGAAGGAAGTACATGCGCATACGCGTAAATATTTTTATACATGCATCTTACATAGCATGTACGTTTAACTGAAGTATAAACAACTTTTTTTCAGGCCCCTGGGACAAGAAAGTTAAGGAAGTGCGTGCGGTGAAGTATGCGAGAAACTGCTCATAAAATGCATTGTGCAGTGGAAAAAGAACGTGCAAAGCAAACCCGAAGGAACTAAGACACGAAGGTTGGTGTACGGAAGGTCAATTTCGGTGTGGGTGCCTTTGTGTTAAGGTCTAGAGTAGACCAGAAACACCAGGACAAGCTGTTGAATACTTGGGTTGGGCCGTACCAGATTGTGCGTGCGGATGTACACTCATTTGTGGTCCGACACCTCGTGACTGGTGTAGAAACAGACGCTCACGCGTCTAGACTAAAGTACTACGCGGACAGCGATTATGAAGTGACTGAAGAAGTCAGACAGCACGTAGCGTCCCAAGGGATTGTACTGTCGGTGTCCGAGCTCAAAGAGCACCGGTGGAGCCCCAATAGGAAGGGTTACGAGATACTGGTGTCTTGGAAAGGACTAAAGTCAATCGAGGACTCATGGGGACCGCTGTCATCATTGTGGAAGGATATCCCAATAATGATACGAGCGTACGCAACAAGCGCCGCTGACAACGGTCTATTGAAGCATTTAAATCGGAGTGCAAGATTTGCTGGAAGTGCAGCTTGAAGTTGCAGAGTGATGGTCGGGAGTGACTGCTACAATGGCTCTCATATATTCAGACAACATTCAAGCAACACTCAGGAAACATGGTTAGGCATTGCGTGTTCAGGCACCATGAAAGAGTGGTCAAGGCTTGAAGGGGCGGTGTAGTGGTTGGTGCATTGGTGACCAAGCCTTGCCCACTGCACTGGGCCGTACAGAACGTGCGGCCAAGCTGGCATAGGAAGTAGTAAGGTATAGTCGGGGACGTGACATCACGTACCGATAAGCCGTAGTGATAAGTTTAGTCAGTCAGTTTGAGTTTTACCTCAAAGCAAGCAATAGATCAAGGCTAAAAGGAAGCGCCAGCTTCCCTCGTGTGTGTTCGAGTTTCGATACCCACTACACCTACTTTTACACAGACCCTGGTCTAAAATTAGCAAAGATGGAAAAGACGGTAGTTGGGTCAAAGGATCTGAAATACAGGATTATCATTGGTGGAATAATAGCTGACCCTTAGAAGTAAACGACGCCTAGGACTACGATGAAACGGTATAAAAGATTCAGCCATCTGCGCTGCACGTATATGCAATTGTCATCGGTGTTTTGTCATTTCTTTTGCCGTACAGGCAAGAGATCGCATAGAGAGCAACAAACCGATCTCGTCCATTTTATTAATGATTCGCTGATCGTATATCTTTAGCTGATGATGCATGTCGATGATTGAGGCGCCCACAGCGGATCCACCCTCACGATGGACCTTAATGCTGCTGAGCCCACACCGAAGATTAAACCTGTAAAGCTGCATCTTATGCCGTGACTTGACGGTTAGCTCAAATATTTTAGATTGATCCGCCATAAGCTAAAGCGAAACTAAAAACCACAATCCACTCTACCCCCGCCCGTACACACAATGTGCCTTCCCGGCAGATCCTTAACTGTTGAGCAGGAGAAGTATTAAAGCTCAATATAATATTTTAATGCTTCTCCGCTCACGCAAAAGAACCCGTCTCCAAAGGACCTATGACAGATCCCCAAGAGTGCAGCTGAAAAGCGAGCATACGACTTATTCAATGCGCAATATCTGAAGAAGCGTCGCTCGCTAAGTCCATGGTTGACGTTATGATACCCGCTATCTTAAAAAGCGTCAAGCGCTCAATCACTTCGGATAAATACCGAGCGGTAGTTTACTCCCCGACCAATGTTAGCTGTACCGCAATGCATATGTATGAAAGTTGTGTTGAGTTAGGTGTGACCTATTTGCGCTTTGGGCTCGGTTCCACCTGAGTGCTATCAGGGCACCACTGGATTGGTTTAGTGCGACACAAGCTATCAAATACGTTAAGTTGTATGTAGATAACACGCAATCGAGGTGTGCTTAGTAATCTCCACAACTCGCTTCTGCTCTGGGTCTACACAAAACTCGAGTGGGCTCGGTAGCGGCAGCGCACAGAATAACTCCACAGGAGCCTTGCTTCCAAGTGACGGCAGTGGAGTATGATTTATACTTGCCTTTAGCAGCGGTACTAAACATGTTCAGTCCTTAATGTCCTTTTTATATTCTAGACAGAGTACTCGGAGCACTTAAATCACGTCACGGGCCACACGTTCGATGCTACCAATGATCCAGGGGCTGTAAGCCATTGTGAACCTTTGTTCGCATCTTAGTCGTT